ATGGGAGGAGGGTATCAGGAGGGGGCAGTCAGGGGACAAGAGGCGGGGAGGCTTAGGTAGGGGGTGGAGTCCTGGGGGGCAGTTAGGGGCAGGGGTCCCAGGAGGGGGCAGTCAGGGGACAAGAGGCGGGGAGGCTTAGGTAGGGGGTGGAGTCCTGGGGGGCAGTTAGGGGCAGGGGTCCCAGGAGGGGGCAGTCAGGGGAAAAGGAACGGGGGGAGGGTTGGTGGTTCTGAGGGGGGCGGGAAGTGGGAGGGGCAGGGGCGGGGCTAGGGCAGGCCTCCTCCCATCCTCTTTTTTGCTTGCTGAAATATGGTAACCCTACACAGATGTGAACTGATTCTGGGCACAAATTAGGGCTGTTTCCCCACTATCTGTCACTGGGATTTGGTCAGAGCATGCTGACTGCAGTGGAATGCCAGAGGTTGGCAAATAGACGAGGTTAAAATGTAACCAGCGGTAACTATGGGAGGATTATCTCCCACCCTCAATAATTAACCATGACAGGTTCTGCTGTTCCAAGGTACATGGTGTGGGGGAGAAAGAATTGCTCACTGACTAAAAATGGGGGCCAAAATGCAGGTCACAGAGATCTCCTACTGGGCTTCCTCCTGCTTCAGCATGGAGTGCACAGGCCTCAGCATGCTATCTCCAGACAAGTAGCAAAGCACCCTAGGACATCACTCTGCACACTGCATGCCTGGGCTGATGCAGAAGGAGGCTACATGTGCCAATTAAGTGCAGCCCTCAAGGCACCAGCAAGTTAGTGCTGGAGCCCGTGCTGCTGCTCCAGCATTCTGATTGTAAAACCTCAGTGCCAAATCCTGCCACTCGTGAGCCTTAGAATAGCACATTGGGTACAGCGCCACACAACATGAGCAAGCGTGGCGAAAACAGAATCTCAGACAAGCATCTGCCCTGATCAGAACGGAGTCTGCTGCCAGCCGAGGCCGCTGCCCTGTGCTTTATGCAAACAGAGGCAGTGCATTCCTGTTTGGTCGAGGCCATGAGTTTTGGATAACCAATTTCTCCTGTGCAGCTTACAGGAAATTGCTCACACCTGAGAGCCAGGTAGCGAGTCAGTGAGAATGGCTGATAATTATTTATTCATATAAATAAGGAAAGGGTCCAATGATTAGTTATGCCCACCACTGGCCTATGTAATTTAGGGTTACCATATTTAAAAAATAAAAAAGAGGACACTCCACGGGGCCCAGGCCCTGGCCCTTTCCCAACCCCGGCCCCGCCCCAACTCCGCCCCCTCACCCAAAGTACCCGCCCCCTCCCCTGAGCGCCCTGCATTCCCCCTCCTCCCTCCCAGCCACGCGGAAAAGGCTGCCCGAGTGCTACCGGCTTCACGGTTTGCCAGGCAGCCTCCAGACCCTGCGCCCCCAGCCGGCACTTCCCCAGCGCAGCTGGAGCCTGGGAGGGGAAGCGCCCAGCCGGGGGCGCAGGGTCTGGAGGCTGCCTGGCAAACCGTGAAGCCGGTA